AAAGGACAATTTCTGTATATATTTTGTTACATTTTTTCAATAAATTGATATGCTCATATATTCTTTTAATTAATAAGACACAATTGGAATAATATGCCATATTCCAGCTTGAATATTAGTTTTCATTTGATAGTATAATGTTTATATTTTCATACGGACTAAATTTTTAGTGAACATAATTTTTAATATAGTATAATACACAGCATCAAATTACACTTGAACTTAATTATAAAAATATTACTTTTCAATTATAGAAAAGAAAATTGAAAATACTGAAAGATATTTCAATTTTGGAATAAAGTTTAGTTTCAATTTTGAATAAAAGCACAATTTATTTGTAATCTCTTATTAAAAGAGACCTTCTCTCGGCATTTGATGTATTTTTTTCATTTGTTTATTTCAGAAACCATTATTCTGTCATATTTATCCTGGTTATTTTTACAACTGTCTCATATATCTATGTATATATCTTTCTGATGTTTCTTTAGGATAGATTCCTAAATGTGGAAATGCTGACTTAAGTGCTAAATTTTTCTATGGGTAAATTTTTCTCTAGAAGGCATCAACCATGTACACTTATGACTAGTAATGTTTGAGAGTAAATATTTCACTGTACTTTTCTTTTTCCTTTTTTCTTTTTTTAAATTGAATCATAATTGATTTACATAATTGTATTATATTAGTTTCAGGTGTACAACATAGTGATTCAATGTTTTTATGGATTATACTCCATTTAAAGTTGTTGTATATGAGCTCATTAGTGTCTTCTTTTTTCTTTCTTTAGATTCCACATATGAGTGATATAATATGGTATTTTCTTTCTCTTTCTGGCTTAACTTTACTTAGAATGATGATCTCCAGGTCCATCCACGTTGCTTCAAATGGCATTATTTTATTCTTTTTTATGGCTGAGTAGTATACAAAATAGAAACAGACTCACAGACATAGTAAACAATCTTATGTTTACTGGGGGAAAAGAGGATGGGAAAGGATAAATTTGGGAGTTTGAGATTTGTAAATATTAACTACTATATATAAAAATAGACAAAAAACCAAATTTCTTCTTTACAGCACAGGAAACTATAGTCAATATCTTGTAATAACTTCTTGTGAAAAAGAATATGAAAATGAATATATGTATGTATATGTATGACTGGGGCATTGTGCTGTACACCAGAGATGGACACATTGTAACTTAAATATACTTTAATTCAAAAAAAAGAAAAAAAGAAAGTGATGGTAAAATCTTCACTATATTCCTTATAATGCACAATATATTCTTATAACTTATTTTATGCATAGTAGTTTGTACCTCTAATCTCATACCCATGTCTTGCTCCTTCCCCTGTCCTTTCCCCATTGGTAGCCACTAATTTGCCTTCAGAACCTCTCTGCTTTGTTACATTCATTCATTGTAACTTTATTAATGTTAAAAAATAGTATTTAAGATTATTAGCTTCTCTGTTGTCTCAACTGAAATTCTTAGGAAGGGAATTTTTTAAATTGGAAGAAATGAATTCAAATATATATATTTAACCAGTAAAGGATATACATCAGTTAAATATTTTCACAGCCATATTTTACAGAAGTATCTTGAATATTTGAGATACAATGTTGTTGTATGTTGTAATATTACATATAACCCTTTTCTCACATTTTAACCCACTTCCCGCTGCTATTTATTAAGCAATGCTTTATTTTCCCACTAATTTGTGATGTTATCTTCTCTGTACAATGAACGAATCTTTTTATTTCTTCTTTGACCAATCTATAAGTATTTTAAGTTAAATTCTTGTAATTTATGTAGATTTAAAATACGTTTTAATTCCTAGAAGAGAAATTCCATATTCATTATTTTTCCCTTTCAAGTTTATCTCAGGAGAATACAAACCAGATATTTCTAGCTATTCAATATTTTCAACCCAGAAATGATGTATATAGTGGTTCAATTTATGAGCTATATGCACACATATACATAAAAACAAACAATTGAATATGGCCATACAAGCGATAAATATTTACTGTAAATTACTGGAAAATGTTCAAACATATTTTAGTATTTGTAGTATTGCTATAGACCTACTACATAGCACAGGGAACTGTATTCAATTTCTTTTAATAACATATAATGGAAGAACATCTGAAACGAAAATGCATATGTATAACTGAATCACTTTGCTGTAGACCTGAAACTAACATTGTAAATTAACTACATGTCAATAAAAAATTTTTGAAAATTAAAATAGTAGTATTGCTATAGTTCAGTCCCCAGATCTAAAGAGATGTATGGAATGGAGGCTTCAGGGAGGGCAGCTTAGGGATGAAATGTTACAGGTGACTTTAATTATTTTTTGCCAGAAAGGTGGTGGCCTATAAATGAGGAGGAAATCATGTAACCTTGGGGCATTAATGCTGTTTATTTTTCAACATTTCTGAAAACATTTATTTTTGCACCATTCCATGTCCATAATGTAACATAGTTTTCCAACAAAGATATCTAAATACAGACTCCTATTCCTACTGGAATTTCCTCTTGCCAACAGCTGTCCCTCTAAAGAACTGACATGCCCTGCATACCCTCAACTGTGAGTCACTTAGTCACTGAACAAATT